GTATTTTTAATGTTATTCTCGACTTTCCATACTTTGTATCCTTCTTCTAATCCATTGATCTGTTTGTATATGAGATCCAATTGATGCCAATAATCATTATTCTTGTTCTTTGCAATCATTGTTTCCACAAATTTTGTGTTATTTTCTGTAAATTCTTTAAGTAATTCACAAAATCTTTTCTTTTGGTCACAAATCCCTTCAATATTATTGCGATAATTCATATGAATTAGTTCTCCAGTAATGTATCCCTCGATAACTCCAGCCATATATGACTGAACTTCGTCTGAGAAGCCCTCATAAGTTCTTAACTCTAAATTCGCCCAACTTTTCAACAAAATTAATAAAATAAAAATAAAGCATAAGCTATACTATGTTAAGGAATAAATACCCGGTTTTGTTGACAGTATTTTCATATATAAGTAAAGCGACCGTTTCTTTGGGCAAATCGATTGTCTCATTATAAGAGACATCTGAATGAATAATACCATCGTTTGTGATGTAATAATATTTGAAACTTAAGACACATTCAAAGGCAACTAAAATTGAAATTATTGACAAAAATATACACTTCATTTTATTGTATAAAGATTTTAACTACAAACGAGTTCAATATAATATGAGAATTGACTGTGAATTATAATTATATAAATTAATCGCCTATTAATGAATTTATAATATTTAAAGCAAAAGTCAAGTGATTTGATAAGACTATCACTGATAACAGTATACAATAACAATTGACATTAAATTGAACTTCATTTCTAATAAATACTCCACTGTTTAACACAATTCTTGTATATAAATACAGTTAATGCCCTGGTTAAATAACACAACCAGAATATATATATTTTCATCAGATATTCACACGTTTATTAATAAATACAAATCAATATAAAAATCGATACAGTACACATTACTGTATTTCACAATTAATATACTATACTAGTAATTCATTCAGTAATTCAGTATAGTATACGGTAACAATAATCGCATACAGTATTTGTTTGCATTAAATTTTTTATAAATTAATATTTAAAACAAATTATTTACAAAACAAATTAAATTAAACAAAGACTTAATCAAAACGATTACTACATAAACAGATCGATAGGAAAGTGAGACTAGCTTTGAGTGGATTTAGTGCCCACTTTGGCATTATAATAGCCGTCCCTCACGTGCCGGCCCTCCCGTCTCAGCTCCAGAACAGCGCCGATGACCAGCCCTACCACTGACCCGAAGACTGCACTCTTAATCATCGGAAAACACAATCTCTCCATCAGTTTGTAGTCTCTATAGCCCAACCTGTAAGACACAAAACCATATCTCAATACAACCATCACTTCAATCACTTCCAGACCATTGAATACCTCTTATATTTGTATGAACTGTACGGCAGACCAACAAACAGACCCACGAAGAAGCCATAGCCTGCGCCTGATTCACACCACCAGTCGTATCGATATATTAGACATACATTTAGTTTTATATATCACTAGTTATTGAGACAAATGGTAAGCAATAAGAGACGGACCAACTAAGAGACCGGCGCCTTCGAGCACTTCCTGGCGATGATCATAGTCTTGGATCACATCATAATTGGGATAATCCGTTGTCTTCACATCCCGGGCCTTATCAAAGTCGGGGTCCCTCTGCTCCCGAAGATTCCTCCACACGTCCAGCCAATGACTTCCCATAGCTATCCAGTTATCTGCAGACAAAGCAAACCAAATACTTTTGCTTCAATTTAATCCATACTTTTAATTGTCTTTCAAAGCGATTATCATTTCATTCAAAGAGTTGTCAAAAGTTTTATCCAAAACTTTGTGACGAAAACCAAAACAAACCATTCATTCACTAAAAACGTGTCCAAAAATTGAGTGAATTTTCGCCCGTTTTGTGACCAATTGTTTGCATTTTATTCATTCATTTAGAGTTGATTTGAATTAAAAGTAATTTTTAAAACTAATTATCAAAACATAAACTAATTATCAGATCATTGAGTGAATGGACAGTCAGTCTTGTGGTCATCGATCACTTGAGTGGATGTGTTGGACGTCATTGATTGCTAGCAATGCTTGAAATCTATTGTCGTTTTCATTGATATAGCGTTGAGATCTTGAGATCAATTGGTGGCACCGATTATCATCCATACCATGAAGTTAACGCCGGAACTGATCGAAAGCGGTTACCAATACATAAACCGCGCGACACGTGACCGCGAACTGGACCTCCGGGCCTATAAGGTGACGGTCATCGAGAACTTGGGCGCCACTCTGGACCAGTTCGACGCCATCGACTTCAGCGACAACGACATCCGCAAACTGGACGGCTTTCCGCTGCTGCAGCGGCTGAAGACACTGCTGCTCAACAACAACCGGATCGGCCGTATCGCCGATGATCTGCACGAGTCGGTGCCCAACGTGGAGACATTGGTGCTGACCAACAATCACATGCAAGAGTTGGGTGACATCGAGCCGTTGGCCAAGTTGCAGAGGTTGTCGACGTTGTCGCTGCTGAACAACCCGATCACCACCAAAAAGCATTACCGCCTATTCGTGATCCATAAGCTCCCGAACGTACGGCTCCTGGACTTCAGGAAAGTGCGACAACGAGAGCGCCTGGAGTCCAAACAGCTGTTCAAAGGCACGAAAGGCAAGCAATTGGAGAGTGAGATCGCCGTGAAGTCCAAGACGTTTACGCCAGGAGTGGCCGACTCGAGCACAGCTGCCAAAGAGGTGGCCAATCGACCCGTGCATACGGCGGCCGATGTGGAGGCCATCAAAGCCGCCATTTCTAAGGCGCAGACACTCGAAGAGATCGAGCGATTGAACCAATTGCTGAAATCGGGTTATATTCCCGGTAAGAGTGACGCCAACTCACGATTGGCTCAGAAAGTGACACAAATGGCGGTCGAGGAGGAAGAGGACGACGAAATGGACGCCAATACTAACGGATAGTAAGACACAAAACACACGCAGACTGTTCGCCACAGAGATATCATTTCATTGAAGCCATTAATTAGATACATGTCTTATGGTAGCAATCGATTGATTGATAGCAAAGTTATCTCTTTATTATAAATCATTTAACAGTAATTTCTTAAGCATTAGGTTTGAAGTAAATTTAATAATTCATTATTTATATATAATTTGATAAAAACATTCAGTTTGTGTTTACAATTATCACATTAAATGACGATATAGTTTCAACAATTAATTTCAATGTATTCAATAAATATGACAACAAATACTGATTGCCATTTTCATTGCATAAAAAAACTTTTCTAAATGTTTGCACATATAATGGAAATATTGATTTGAATTCATTGATTAGTTTTCTCAATAGATGTTTTTAAATATAAAAACTCAGTATTTATTTTTAAATTATAAAATAAGACTAAAAGTTAATAAGAGTTAAAAAAGATTTATAATTAAATGTATATATAGTTTACAATTAGTTAAGAATCTCGAGATAAGCCAACGGGACAGAACCAATTGCTGAAATCGGGTTATATTCCCGGTAAGAGTGACGCCAACTCACGATTGGCTCAGAAAGTGACACAAATGGCGGTCGAGGAGGAAGAGGACGACGAAATGGACGCCAATACTAACGGACAGTAAGACACAAAACACTCGCAGACTGTTCGCCACAGAGATATCATTTCATTGAAGCCATTAATTAGATACATGTCTTATGGTAGCAATCGATTGATTGATAGCAAAGTTATCTCTTTATTATAAATCATTTAATTTCTTAAGCATTAGGTTTTGAAGTAAATTTAATAATTCATTATTTATATATAATTTGATTAAAAACATTCAGTGTTTGTGTTTAAAATTATCACATTAAATGACGATATAATTTCAACAATTAATTTCAATGTATTCAATAAATATGACAACAAATACTGATTGCCATTTTCATTGCATAAAAAAACTTTTTCTAAATGTTTGCACATATAATGGAAATATTGATTTGAATTCATTGATTAGTTTTCTCAATAAATGTTTTAAATACTTTTTGAGTCATAAATAAAAATTTAATATTTTATTCTGATTTTCAATTATTCTCAATTTTTTCTAAATATTAATTTACATATATATCAAATGTTAATCAATTCTTAGAGCTCTATTCGGTTGCCCTGTCGTCCTTTCTGGGCGCCTGTATGCGGGCGTAAAATAGGTTGTAATTTACTAAATGGTCTGTAAATGTAGGCTTAAACGCAACGCGTGTCTAACCTCTCTCGCCAACCATCCAATCGGCATCCAAGTCGACAGATTGCGAGACAATAATCACTTCGTTAGCCATGAGTGACAACTCTGTACTGTCTTTAGAGTCGTAGTCATAGAGAGCTGTCCGACAGATAAGTAAATGACAATAAATGCCACAAAAAAAATTGATAATCAAATCAATGAATACCTTTTGCGTATCGCTTTCCCGGCGCTAAACTCGGTTTATTGTCATCTGAAGGAGAGGTTAAGTCGTTAATAGTTCCGCGAATACTCGATACGTTGGCACCGGTTGAGAGTTCCCGCTGAAGATCACACATGTGTTGATTACAGCGGGCGAAGAAGGCTATCTGCGCCGTCACGAAGTCGTTGAGACACCGGACGTGATTAGACTGTGGGTGCGAATCAGATCAGCGCATTTGAAACAATAAGCAACAGATAATCCAAGACATGACTTACGTGTGCGGCACTGATTCCCTCCAATAGAAGTCGTGTTATCTCTATCTGACGATCAAAGTCCTCCTGAGCTAACCTCAGCTCCTGTTCCGCCTATGGATTGGTTTAAGTGTTGAAAAGTACACAACAATTAGCCATTAAATAAAAGTCAAATGAATTTCTGTGTCAAACATTCAAACATAATGCAAAAACTAAACCATAACTTTAGACTTAAAAACTAAAAATCGATGCAAAAAGTGAAGTGCAATGTAATGATTGAATTCATGTAATACCTGATCGATTTCCTTAGCGATCATTTCAGGCTTAATCTTAACCTAAAATGTTTTGTTAATTCATTGTTTTCAGATGAAAAAGAGAGGGAAAAGCATTTCACACGAGTATTGGAGCATTAAAACGGTATTATTTTATTAATTATTATTCATTGGAAACAAACACACGTTTTATTAATGCATTTCAAAGTTTGAAATTCAAACCACAGGATATGATATAGTTTTTGTTTTCGGGGGAAATAAAAACTCTATTACATTAACGGTACGAATGAGACAATCAATGGTCACTTACATTAGTCTGCGATTCCATAGTCTTTGCTTTTCTGAGCCGATTCTTAGCCGCGTCTAAGTCTAACCGTTTGGTCTCCAAAATCTTTCTCTCTTTCTGTGTGAGGACGACAGACATACAAATGAGTCCACCATTCATGCGATTCGCAGGCAAACCCATTGCTTACAGTTATAGTTCTCATGTCTTCGTCCAAGAACTTCCTCAACGGCTGCACAAAACTTCTGTCAGAGTTGGCCACGAATTCGCGCTCAGTTTGGCCCAGATTTTGCTCGGCTTTGCCCACTTTAATGAGCGCCGAGCCGTACACCGTTCCCGGACCGTACTCTATACCGGCGTCGATCATGTCGGTGCCCAACGACTCCAGGTTTCGCATGCGTTCCCTCTTCTCTGGACCTAATTTGTCAAAAATCATGTCTCCATAACGAGTATCTAAAAGACATACAAAACACAGAAAGGATTTCATGCCATCTCTAAGTACTAGTTCTCCGGATAACTTGCGATACAAAACACTCGTCGCTCCAAGAGATCAGTCAATCACTTATGAGTTGCGTCTTAATAATCAATACTAAACTCATAGAACCAGTGACTATCAGACTATCACTCATTTTGTGTGGCCTAACAACAAGTGTTCAATGAATTGGTGGATGTGGTCATCACTTGGAGTGCGAGTGTCTACAGAGAGTGTGTCTATACTTGGGTTGGGCTGTAATACTGATTCGGTCTTCGAGACGATCCTTTCGGTCCACAACTTAGTCCTGTCGGCCCTTTCGGCCAAACTCTCGAACTGTGCGTCCAATTCGGTCTTTTCAGCGGTTCCTATCGTCTCTTCGGCGTACTGTCCGTACAAATCAACCCATCAATGGATCAACTCATGAATGCGTGTCTCACTCGCGGATCAGCTGTTGATGCGATCACTACTCATACCTGTTTGGCTCGCGTGAAGACGGTTCCCACGTCCGACACCAACCCCTTGAAACTCTTGGCGCTGAAGTCCATGACTGGCGATGACTATACTGTCACACAATGGACACACAGATCACAAGTCATCGACAAATGCGATATTTTACTCTGTTATGAAACGCCAATACTGTGTTTGTGATGCGGATAACGCTTCTGTAATTTGATTTGCGATTAGTTATCTGCTGACTACTTACTCACAGAGTAGTGACCACACTTACAGAGTAGCCACGACATGAGTGGTGATCATCAGCGGTGGTGAGGCCTCTCTCACACATCCATTCGCAGTGAATGCCAGACATTGAGTGAAGGAATGACAACAAAAAAGGCGACAAAACGTCACAAACTGTCGACAAATAACGACAAACACTGCAAAGCATTGCAAACACACTGACAGACAGACTGTCAGTCAATGTATACGATTGCGTCACTCATTGATCATACGATCGGTGTTTTGAGTGACAGTGCATTGGATTGTGATTATAATAAATGCGGTCATCGTTGACACAATCGCTGCATATATCAAGACATTTGGTCCACACGTGTTGTCTTCACTGTAATCAACGCAGTTTACCGTCGATTTGAAACCCGCGCTGACCACAAACGTTTGTTTACAGACTAGGTTTCTGTCCAAATACCAGAGTTATCAGCGGCTACAGATCGTTTAGTTCCCAGTCTAGGGCTCCTTATACTGCAACAGGACCCCAAACACGACCACAGATCCGATGAGAAGATAATCAATTTATACGAAACTCATATTCCGACCACAAATGCACAAAAAGTGATGCTATCGGTGGGATCAGCCATAGCCGCCATCACTGACCCGTACAGACATGGTTTGCCATACATGCCATACATTCGTTTGCCATTGATTGCATTGTCTTAATGTGGATCTGTTTGTCGCAGATATGGTGGCAGTGTTTGGCGAAACAACCGGATATTTTGCACTGAAGGAGATGTACCAGAATATGATTCAAGACCCCGAAGGCCGACAGATACTCGAAGACAACCCGCGAATCAATTCAAAGACTGTAGATATCGAGTGGTTGGCAACGCTTCCGGAGGGAACGTTTGGTCGCGAATACTACAACTTCTTAAGGATTAATGTATTGTTTTGATTGTGCTATTAGTTAATGAGTTAATGATTATATGTTTGGATGCTTTACTACTGGTCTTTCACTCAGGTCTGTGGTCTTACAGGCAGTTCAAACATCTACTGCAGGTAAACCGCGTTCATTACGTCTCCATAGCACTCTAGGTGCTATACCAGGTGTGTAACGATAGTTACGGCTGCAATATGTTGGGCGAAGTTGTGGTCAAATGGGTTGAAGCCATTCAGACGGACCTTCCTATGTGTTGGACGGGCGGACTGTTTGGTGCCGTACGACTGGCCCCTAAACAGCGCCAAAACTATGTCAATACGTTCCTCCCGTGGGCTCTCCGTTGTGGACACGAGGCTATCGGAGACTACTTACAAATGATGCTCTTTTCTAAACTTGTTTTATAACTTCTGTACTCTTCTCTCGAATTGTATGGAGGGTAAGGGAGGTAGAGTACTAATATGTCATAAATTGATATACAATCTGACTTTTCAATAATGTTTGCCTTATTTTTAAGACCAAAAGTTGTCAAAAATTTTTATTTAAATAATGAATTTATGAGTTACAGATTCTGTATTATTATTGAATATATGCGTCAATTGTGTCATACATTTTATAGTTATTAAAACATTTCGATGAATCAAAAGTATTATAAATAATACTATAAATAAGTAAAATAGAGAGTACTGTATGTCTATAAAAATTAATAGAAATATTGCATAATATATCGGATTAAATGCAAATCACGTCTCACTGACAGTTGCCTTAACTCTCATTGGATTTGTCGTCGACGGGTTCGTAAGTGGTTGTCGTCAGGAATATCTGAAACCAACAGTTATTTTATAAACTTTTTTTAATGACGTTTTGTTAATCAAAAAAAACTTACATTTAAGTTGTCGTCCGACTTCTTGATCACGTGCTCCTTCTTAATGTACTGCTTGCCATCGATGGTAACGATCTCCTCTTTGGTGCCATTATAGTTAGCCGGGTACTGGGAACTGGTCTGATTGAATCGCTCGAACATATTTCTGGACATATCTGTCAAACAAACACCTGTTTAGTGATTGAAAATTATCACCAACTCATGGGTACCAGACCTTCAAATCTTTTGGTCATCTGCCGGAACAGTTCATCGAAGTGTGTATTGAAGTTGTGTTTGAAAAACGTGGGAAACTTGCCGCCAAACTGGAAGGTGCCGTCGTTGGGGTCGTAGTCCACTTCCATCACATCGGTCTTGTCGTCGACGGGAACCGCATCGAAGTCTTTGTCGATGGGCTCGCGCTCACCGGCGATGACAGTTGTCGTCTCATTCAGATTACCCTCCCTTTCGATCTGGCGTTTGGTTCGGATCGTGATCTTCGCCGAACACGCCGTCGACACCACAATCACAGCGATGATAGTCAACAGATAATTCATTTTAAAACACAAATTAATTGTATTTTTGTCGACAAATAGCGATGAAATCGAGTGTTTAAATAGTTTTGAGAAACTTTTTTCCAGAGATAAGAGTAGTTTTTGGGGAATATTGCGCTTCTAATTACTAATCGACTAATGGTCAAAACTATACTTAAGACTTTAGTTTGTGAAAGACTTCAGAGATAGCATACTTATTACTCGCTTTTTAAGAAAAGGTTAATTTACAAACCAAATCAAAATATAACTTATTAAGAGATGACTAATAAACTAATAATTAAGTTATTATTGACTGCAGAATAGTTTTACTATTAATTCCAGACGTTTCTCGTCAGTGAATGTGAAATTTGTAAGTAAACAAGTACTTTTAACTATTAGATTCTGTTCATTACATACAATATATTTCCTGTCGTTATTTCACATTTGTTTGAATATAGTTTTCATTCGTCAATAAAATGCAGTGAAAACTTAAGCCATTATTTCCTTAACGACTATTATATCGAATATATTGTGTATTGAAAAATGAATAATAAATAATAAATTCATCCAAAACTAAGTACATGTATATTAAAAATAATATATAGTTTATTTCATATCAAAACATAAATATGTAATTCACGGGAAAAATGCTACTCGAAGGACAACCACTTTTATTTGTTATAAGTTAGTCAAATACCTGCCCCCATAGTCACTGTCAGCGCAATGCTTAGTTAGAAAATTATTAACTTTTTTATTTCACACATTAATGACAGAAATATACAAGAAGTCATTAATTAATAATTTGATATATATTTTTGTACTCAACTTCCTATTAATAGTAATTATAAAATTCATTAACCATTCGGTTGGCAATCATTTAATGGTTATACAGCTCCAGAATCGTGGCAATACATGACTCCATAGAGATTTCTGCATAAATATAAAACATAAGAATTTGTAAGAATTACACTCTCTGAGTGTGTGTGATTATGGTAATTAAGCTTGCTCATTTTGTATACTCCCGCAGCATATGCTTACATCATTTGCCGGGCAATTGATTCTCGAGTACCATTCCAAGCTATACAGCATCACCATTAGACCCCAACCCAGACACAGGCTCACAAACATTAGCATATTTCCCAACGAAAGTGATGTGTTTTGTGATGTTAACTGTTGATTATTATTATGAGTGGTAGTATTCATGTGATTCTTGTTTAACGAGCCCTTGGACTTGAATTTGCCGACGAAAAATAGCAACACTAATGAATAGATTATTCATAAATGAGATAATATTGTTATGTCAGCCGGTTATTATTACTGTAAACAACTATATTTATTATTCACTGAATAGAGTAAAACTTTTTTTTATGTTTGATTTAACGATTAAATGCTCCAAATTTCATGCACACGAGTGAAATCATATTTTTAGACATCCTTTTTCGTTGTAATTATGAATATGAATGAGTTATGAATGTGAATAATAGGCATTACCTCCCATTATGAAGAATGATAGAAACAGCACCGGTAGGAAGAAACCAAAGGCCACCGCAAGAATATATTCGTGAATTACCGCCGATATTAGGAACACCCAGAGCGCCGATATGTCTTTATTTCCTGTCCACTAAGTGCATGAATTTATTAGACATTATTTTTAACATAATTAAAATGTGAAATTTTAATCATAACTTACTCGTTAGTATATTTTATATACCTCTTAACCCCAGTGTATAGGACTACAGTAAAAGTTTATAGGAAATTACTCAACTCGTAGATAATGTAGTTATTCAATAATCATAATAATTAATTTACTTCCTATTTAGCACAGTATACAAACTTATAAACTAATGGCTAACTGAAAATAATCTGGTTACTTTAAATTCTATGAACGTTAAATGTTCTTGCATAGCCAGAAATTTTATGTACCAATAATAAATATCCTTGCACGATAATAAAAATTTGAATAAATTTTTTTCAATAAGCTATGCCACAAAATTAGGACTAAAGATTAAGAATATAAATAGTGTACTAATTAAAATATAAAATAAAACACATACCGATATACATGTGTCAAAAATATATGCCCTGAGCCAGTCGTGGACAATGATATTCCACTTGCGGTAAAAGACCACATAATCTGAGCAGTTCCACCAATCACTGTAAAACTCCCGGTACCCAAACCTCATCATCTCGGCGAACCCGTTCAGCCAACAGTGCAATAGTCCGTAAAACATCAATAGTTTCAATTGTATGCCAACCAGTGAGGAATTCAACAGTAAGTACACCAATTGCCTGATTTCAAACGCCTTAATACCTGTCCACTTGAAGTTGTGCTCAACGAATCGCCAGGTGATCGCAAACATGCAAAACATGACTGCCAGCACCTGAAGGAAATACCAGATGACCAGTTTCCAATTGACTTTATTGGTCCTATTGGTGTAATTGGTCGTTATATTTGATAATTTAGTACATAGTTCATATTCACTTATGTATACCTCGGGTAGTTATCCCTATAGAGTAATGTCGGGGCGTATAGAAAATATAAGAATTGAGATAATGTCGGCGCTTCTCGTGTAGTCTTATCTGAAGTTTAATGGAAAGTAATCTGCAAATTATTATTTAAAAATGAACTTTGTAAACTTATTTTCACCCAACCTTTTGTGACTTCAATATTTCTGTGCCTATGCTCCTCAATGAATGATTGAGATTTCATTGTCAGCCGGATCTTAATTTTAATGGGTTTTGCAATAAATAAATTAACAATTAGGATTGTGATAATGAATATTCAGTATACCTGCTCAATAAGTATGGCAAACCGACATATTGGTGATATGCCACTGTGTTTAGCAAAGTTATAACAGTATATGAATAGAAATGATTGATAACACACAGCAATCACTGACAGCATCAGATTCTGGACATCTATATTGGGTTTAAAACAAATTTTTCGGTTAGATTTTAATATAAATAGCAAATCCTTTTTAATTCATACATGAATTGACTAATTGGTGATTTTTAGTCCACAACCATATCCTTAATATTGGGTACAGAATAATGATTGCACTCATTTGCATCTTAAGCCATGTTAGGGCCCATATATGAAACTTAGGGACACTAAAACACCACTTGAGCCACACCAGGTCCGCGTATAATCTTTTTAAAAGTTTGTATATATTTATTAAACATAATCTTTTTTACAGATAACTGTATTACAAATAACAAAACATAATAGAAAACTCACTCATTATTATCAATCAAATAATAGCAGACAGTAATTCCCAATATGATGACAAATATTGCGAAACATAGATTATAGGCAGACCTCATGTCTTGATTTGAACCAAACAATTCACTTAATCATACAAAAAAAGACAACTTTTATAACAATTTAATATCCATTTAAATAATTTCGACAAATTTATTATACAGTACTTGAGTCGAGAATCCTTGGTTATTAATTGTTTATTAGTTTTTCCACCCATTTTTGGCAAAAAATAAGTTACTAACAACTAGAATAATGCTTTCGAAACACAATATTAAGATTTAAGTTAGTGTCCAATTAATTGAATGATCAGAAACAAATTTAACACCACTTTTCATTTTGCATGTACTCAGTGTAGTTATCGGCGAATCAATCCAGTCTTTGACCCTAAACTTGCAAATTATAATTCCTGTGTTTGTCTCCACACTTACAGAGATTAGATTATCACCATAATTCAAATTATATATACAGTGCTTTTATTACATTTTATTATTTTATATCAAAATTTTTGCGTTTTTATAACTTATAAACAAATGGTTAGCGGCATTATCACTGATAATTTATCAGCGAATTTTTATTTTACATAAAAATATTATTTTAAACTAAATATAGGAATATAATTTACAATAATAATAATTGTTTTATAAATTATATATTGTATATATAATAATTATTTTTATCATTTAATAAATGAACCAAAAGTACTCGGGTTTTAATAATAAATAATTTGTAAACTTATTGATAAGTCTAACAAAAAAAGTTATTAACTTAATTATATTAAAAATTTACAATAATTTATAACCTATACCGGGAACTAAATGTATTTTTATATCTCAAGAATCTATTATTTACAAGACTTATATTTATACACATTGAAAACATTCAATTATAGACAACTCGCAAAATAATTAAAAAATAGATTAACAATAATTTGTTGTTACAAACAAACGTCTGGACCATTTGTGACCACTTTTGTCCTCAACATCTCTGCAAATCTCTGGAACTTGCGGTTCATATACGGAACAAATATTCTTAGAGAACTCTATTTACAAATCAAATGACATTCACTAATAATGGCAATCGTTGTGGAGGAAGGCGTGCTAAAGAGAGAGCATAGAAATCAGTTGAGCAATGATTTGGTCTCATATATGATGGATAATGAGGACCCAAACGGCGATATTATACTATACAGTCACACCAAAAGCCATACTTTGGTGGACAGGTATTGCACTGGTGTTTGCGATCGCATATGAATGGATCAGATCTCATACGTCAATACGACTCCAATAATCGTTTACTCAATTGACAATAAATGCCAAATAACTTCATACAGACCTAATCACCTTTTATAATCTAATTCAACGCGTGAGTACGTACTCATTGAATGAGCCCTAATGGGGGGAAATGGAGAGTGAATGTGATTGTAATCGTAATGAACGCCACTTTAAGTGTAATTAAAAACAACACATAATTTCAACACTAGTTCACGAAAAAACGCTCAACAAATCAGATGTCAATCGGTTTGTCATCGAAAGTGATTAGCGTCTGATTGTATAACTGTTGAGGCGGTGGTGGCTGAGGACTGGGAGCGGTGTTGCTGTCGGTGGACAGTGGCGTGAATGGACCGTCCGGTTGGAGGCCGTGTTGGAAAACTTTAGCCAAAAAGAGTCGCCAAATGTGGTAATAGTTGGCGCACTTCCACGTGAAGTTGTGGGTGCCGTCCAAACGGTGCAACTCCTTGTGAGCGCTGCCGCACAGGGCGTACAGCGATGTCATCATCGACGACGGGATCAGTTCGTCGCTGAGACCGGAGATGAAGAGCGCGGGCGCCGTCACCTCCGAGATCTTGTCCACTGAAGTGAATTGGTTTTTGTAGAACCAATTGGGAAGCCATCGGATGAGCCGGCAGTTGAACAGTTGGCGCCCGATATCCGGAAGACTGGTAAACGTGTTTTCGATGATAACGGCGGCGATGGCGGCGCCCGCGTTCGCACGTCGGGCCAACTCGACGGCCACAGCGCCGCCTAACGACCGGCCGAACACCACGATCTTGTGGCTGTCGATGTCGGGCCGTCCCATCAGGTAATTGAGTGCCGCCGAGGCGTCCAAATAGAGACCCCTTTCGGAGGGGTGACCGCCGCTGAGCCCATACCCCCGGTACTCGACGAGCAGTATATTGCAACCGATCTCGTGATACAATTCGTAACAGTTCTGCAGTCTGTGGCCAATGTTGCCGGCGTTGCCGTGAAAGTAGACAATCGTCGGACACCACTTGTACTCATTGTCGGGCCGTTTGATGAGCAGGACATTGATGTTGATCTTGTCGTCGGTGGTGATGAAGTGGGACTCGAAGGACAGGTTGAACGCCATTGGGCTCAAGACGTTGGCGCGGCTGTCGATGGGGTCGTTGGGGTTGTAGAGGAGGTAATCGCAGAAGTTGTACACAATGTACACGAAGCCGATGGTTGTGGTGATGATGGCGAGCGTGAGGCCACATGTCATGTATATCGCGATAATCGCTATTAAGACCAAAACCAACAGCTTTTGGCACTTCTTCGACAGGTATATCACGATACGAGTGATGCCTTTCATCACCTCGAAGTAGAAGCCAATCAAACGGATTAAACGCATATCTTCGGCGGTGATTGTCTCACGGGTTGGACACCGATTGAGTGGTCGATGGCATCGGCTTTTCAAATGACTGCCAAACTGTTTGTGCGGTCGTTATGACGACCACTGTTTACAAACACATTGCTATCCATTCATAAAATACATGACAATATGTTTTTTGTCTCACTTTTTTTGACACAAACTTTTCGTTTTATAACTTTTGGCGAGTTTTTGGCGTAAATTAATTATTTATTACTTAATTAAAGCGTTAGTTAATTAGTTTTTTATACACACAAACACCATAAGGTTGCCAGATCATATGACTAACAATGGGCTCATTTAATTATAGCACGATTTTATTAGTTTATTTAAAAATTATCTCATTTTTTCTCCTAATATACGGTGTTTTGCGGATCAAATAAGAGACAAATTCTTCACAAAATATAAGACAATTAGCCATAAAAATGAGTTATGACTTAGTGTTGAGTTATTACAAGAGTTTTTGCACCAAAATCTCAGATTTGAGTCAATACTTCGGCGACGACTCCACGTTCCTCTTCGTCCAGGACTTCGGCAAAACTTCTGTGGCTTTCGGTCGACACGACATCGAGAGACACATTGAGGAGCAGTTCTGGTCGACGAGCATACCGCTGATTGCATACAATATACACATCGAGAACAAGACACTAACCATGAGTCCTATGACATCGACACAGGGGACGGGTGTGCGGGAAGTGGCGGTCGTAGTGTTCGGCACATTGAAGGCCATCCACTCCAACAAAGACATCCGACTCACGAGACTCATGGGCCGCAAGTTTGTGCAGACATTCGTCGTGTACATCAATGACCACAATAATGAGCACTACTTCAAGAACAGTGTCTTGTCTTACGTGACGGTCATACCCGCCAGCGATCAGCCGCCGTCACCCTCTCAACCCCAACAACCGTCAGTTCCCTCACCCGTCTACCCGTCCGTGTCATCGCTGAAGAGTATATCTGCAGATATGATAAACGCGCCGACAGTCCAGGAACTGGAGTTCGAGAAGATTGTCAAGAATATCGATAAATTGATGAACGAATCCAATGGTGTGAACGAAGAGTCGAGTGATAAGCAAATGGTTTGTCACCAGAAAAACGATTTGCTGCCCATATCTGCCAATGAGATCTTCGTGGACTCGTGTGTGAGTGTGGACAGGGATGGCAACGGCGGCGCCGACTTTCGCTTCAATGACTACCAGTATTTGAACGATATTTGGTCTAAATGTCAAACGAATAATAAATTACAAACTATTGATAAAAACCACAAAAATCAAAACCAATGGATTGCTGAAAACCATGACACCAGTCATGACAACCGGAGACAAACGAATGGTGACACTCAGAACGGGTCGACCACTTTCGCCGATGCCTTGCGGAGCGGTTCCCAGTCTTTTAGTGTCAAACCCGATGCCGAAACCCAAGACATGAGACTGATTCCTATGTTAAGCAAATCGCGACTCAAACCAAACAATTGGCTGCAAATCCAGTCGAAAGCGAAAAATGAGTTCATCGGTCAGCAGAGCATCACAATCATCGGCTCCCAGAACTGGTACGATATCTGCGAATCCAATATCCTGTTCATCGCCAACATTCCTCTGGGTTTCTCCAAAACCGAATTTATGGCTTTTTTCGACATTTACGGCAAAATACTTTCGGTTAAGTTTGTCGAGAGGACTGGCGTTACGTTCGCTTTCATATACTTTGATTCGTATGTGATTTGAGCGAAAAGTTTAGAAAAACTTTTGTTAATTACTTTTAACTATTTGTTTGCAGCAAATCCAGTGTCGAGACTGTGCTGAACACCGCCACCAGTAATAATAGCCTTTATATTAATGGTCTTCACCTGAAAGTCGATAAATACAAGCGAAGAATACCTAATGTGTGATTCAATTGATTTACATATTTCTCATTATTTATAATAAAAACAATCATTAATTTCTTATTACCATAACCATAAAAACATTATTTACAAAATAAACCAAAAAACTTTGACAAATACAGTACAGTATTACAAGTTGAGTGCCGATTACGAGTTACAAATCAGTAATTTTGACAAATTTATTGATTTATTCACTTTTACTTGAAACAAATCTAACAGTAAATCAATCAGCCAGAAACACTTAATCCTTTCTATTATTATTAATAATTTTCAATTTACAGTATTTTTTAAAATACTGTACGACACAGTATAAAGATAATAACAAAATGTTTAGCTAAAAGTTTTGATTATTTAAGTAAGTTTTAAAAGTTTAGAAATTTGTCATATAAAAAATTTACTAAAATATTATAAATAACATTCTCATAATTTGAGTTTACAAAGTTTGAATTGTGTAAGTTTATAAGTAGCCCAAGTAATTATCTAATTGATTAATGCATACAAATATTATTATAACCCTGGTTACAAATATTTTCGGCTCACAAGTATTTATCTACGGATTTAAATGTTATGGTAATAATCGACTTATAAATTAATATTAATTTAAAATAAAGCTTATAAATCACAAACCAATAGATAACCTGGTATATTATATTATATAAAAGGTATCTATTGAATACGAATTGATTTATAGTTCAAATAGATGTCGGTGTGGATAAACTTATGGGAACTAAAACTTTAAGAAAACTTTTTCCATATCATTGACAACTTGATACTGTTTACGCAATTATCT